TTGAAAAAAAAAGATCATTTATCTTAGCTGTCAAATTTGCAAGAGACACCAAAAGGAGTTTAGACAATCCTTGTGAAAGCTTATTGTTGAACAAGCCAAATTGACAAAAATACATATTTTCCTAAGATGTATATTTCATTTCTTTTGAACTTGGTGGTTTTGTACTTTTAGTATTAGTCATATAGTGTGAAATCACACTCATTTAATAGTTGATGAGCAACCAAAATTTGTCACGATCAGATCATAGTTTCTTTGCATAAGGGACTATACATCGTAGGCCTGAGACATAAACATACTTTCACTTTGAACAGAAGTCACTTTTGAAAGCATTTTTGTCTTATCCTAGGTGTCAGCAAATAAATGGATATTTTTTTCATCCTGGCTTTTGAGTTTGTTCAGTTATATGGGAATATGGAATAAGTTACAGAACTGTAAAGCAGTCATACACTTAAATCAATATTCTGAGGCACAGGACATCCATAATGGTTTGATAATTACAACATAAAACTATACTATCAGTCAATTTACAATAATTTTTTTTAAAACGCCTACTAAAGCAGTCCAGACATACCCGAGACTTCAAAAACAGTCTAAGGACAGCTTGAAAACAGGTAATTCCTGGTGAGTGAGTGTGAAGACTCACATGTGAATCCCTAACCTGCTCAAGGCTGAAACCCCTCACTGCTGTGCCTCTGAGGCAGTCCAGGAAAATGCTTTTCATCCAAAGAAAGGATTCCCTCTTTGTTTAACAGGTTTGTCCTTTAGGCAAATATGGCTACATTCGGAGACAGGCAACATCTTTTGCTAGAAAGCACAGAGCTGCGGAAGAGAGAGGGGATTAGAAGAACCCACAACAACCATCAACCAAAAAGAGAAGGGATAAACAGACAAGCTTTCATGCACAGAAGCCATTGTCAACTCAGCCTGGATCCTCACACTTCTGCCTTTGCTGACTGCCCGAGCTTCCGAAGCTTCATGTGTTCAGGATGTTGTCAAGAGGGAGAAATAAAACCATAGGACAGAGGCAGAAAGGGACAGATATTCAAGGTTACCTGAGAAGGAAACAGAGTTGATGTTAGCTATTTGCTTCAAAGTACCTCTTTTTATGCAAGTCTAAAGCTGGGTTGTGTCGTTCAGACAGAGCGTTGACTGCTGTGCAAGTTCCATGACTCTCTTCTCTTCAAGCACATAAAAAAGGCTGCTAGAAGTGGTAGCAAAATCTTACAGAAGCCTTTCCTGATTTAACAGAGGTTAAATTATTTCCCATTTACATGTAGGAATTAAGAAAATCACCATCAGCGAGTATCATCTCTTGCCATTTGTAGTAACAGTTCACAAAATCAGTATGTTAAAATTCACTGTCTTACAGGCACCCTATCATTTCTGATGTCTCAGTATCTTAGAGGAATGCATAGAGGGGAAATATACTCTATTAACCATTAAGTGATGCATATTTAACTTTGATCCAAAGATCTCTTTGGACTAGCAAAGAAATGACCATGCGAGTTAGAAAATAAAGTTATTTTGTGTGTGGGTTGTTTTTGGTTTTGTTTTTTTTTTTTAAACAGGAGAAGTGAAGCTGCCCAGAACAAGCAGCTGAATTAGTCTGAGACACACCAACAAAACAGTAGAGAGACAAGCTGATTTCACACTGACTGGTCCTTGCAAAGCCAGGCGAGCTCTAGCCACACATCAGTTCTGCACAGTGACTGTGCAAGTTTCAGCAATACAAATTCTTATACCTGCTGAAGACTTGAGCTAAGGTATCAGGCATGTAAAAACACATAAAATTTGGCCTATGTTTTAAGAATGTAATAAAACAGGATATGTATTTCTGCTTAAATGCTTAACTACATAAATGCATACTTACCTAATACCTTCCCTGTTAAGGCAAAGAGTATCTACAAGTTGCTCTAACCAGGCACAGCTTCCTCAGCCACGGAACACACCCAGCTCATGTCTGCTACAGTGAGATACAGCTACCTATGTACATGCACATGCATTTGACATACGGAGTTTCAGAGTTACGAACACATGACGCTAATTCCTACCTGTAACACGGAGACTGATGCACATCAAGGAGGCGGGGGAGAACATCTTTTTAAATATCTTAACATGACATTTAGTGACAGTGGAGGGTGAGAGGGGGCTGAGGGGAACACCCAGAGTTGTTCAGACCTGTGGGTTTTGAACTGCAGTTCACGGCAGTTTTGAGGAACTTTCCCAGAGAGACAGAAGATGTTTGGTTATTCGACTCAATGCTAATGTTCCCTTTACAAAACTTTGAAACTGCCTGGCTTTCTGCTTTACCCTACGGCATCTGCTGTCCAGTTCGGTGGATCTATTCACACACAGAAATGCACCAGGAAAAATTTCCTGCGGATTTACAATTTTGAAGGAAGACATCTCTGATACTGCAACAAACGCTGCAAAATAAAACAGACCATCACGTCACTGTGAGATGACAGTTCACACCTATATTTGTATCCTCCCGAAGCAGGATATACTACTGCAACACCCTTCAGTTATGAGGGATATCTCTATTGATTAAGTCATGCAGCATTGGCTTGTGTCTTTGGTCCAGCTGTATTATATAGACTGAACTTGCAAGTATCTATATGTTACTTCATAATTTAATACAAAGTTATGAATCAAGCTTTAATTGAGGAAGCAATGTTTAACTACTACGGTAACTATGGATTATCTCATGTCCACTTTTAATACAAAAACCATTTTCAAAATCACGGAAGACTCACACCAACTGCACGGTTTCATGTGACTGTGACTGACGCATTCACCTATGAAGTCTGAAAAATTTAGCAAAGCAATGTCATTTTTCCCCAAACCAGATGCTTCTAAAGCACTTGTTGAAATCATAAGCTCAGTGGTCTCCTTTTGTGGAGGTGATACCGGAATGTCCTTAACACCACCCTCCTCTTTTTAGGGGTCTGAGAATTTGAAAAGGATAGTTAAGGTCAGTTGTGGGAAGGAAGAATCTGTCAGACACAGAAACGTGCTCTCCATGTTCAGTGACTTGCTTGGTTCAAGTCTACAGAAAACGACTTCCTGACAGATGTCCTCCACTGACACAACCAAGGCCAACACATTCCAGAAATCAATCAATTTTTTCTCCTCTCTACCTCCCTGCTAGTTCCAGTCTCTTCTTCAGTATTGACTTGTGAAAATAATCACTTGTCATTTTATAACAAAATCATACGCTATACATGATCTATCCCTGTCCCCCCCCAAAAAGATCTCATAGGAATAAGTTTAATTATATACACTCTAAAATGAATGTGAGCATTTGAAGAAAAGAACACCATCCCTTGTTGTATTATCTTTTGTTATTTAAAAAAGCCAAGAGGAAACCCTTGGTAAGAGTGGAGCATATTGATTATGACAAGACATCATGACATACCAGTTGAGATTTAAAGGCTGCTAATAACACTTTTTGTAGTAATTAGTGCAAGATAGTTACCCCATATAAACAAATATTTGATGGCAGACTTCAGTGATAAACAATTCACTTGATGACATTTACATATAAATACACATAAATAAAAACCTACGTAATTTAGGTTTGTAGTTAACAAAAAATATGGTCTGAAATGAATTAAATGTAATTGTATCTAGCTGGATCAAAGCTCTTCCTCTAATGATACTCAAGTATACGGGGTACAAAAAGCATAACTGTACAATTCTCAATTTAGTAAAGTACTACTCTATAAAACAGAATCATGAAAACAGCTCTTACATTTTAATGTAAAGTATAAAATTGTATATTTACATTTACATACACTTTACTGAACTACATTGGGTAGCTCACGGTAAAAAACATCCCTTTTTGAAAATCTTTCAAAAAATACATCAACTGCACATATGATCAAAAGTTACTAAGTTAGCAGCTGACACAACATCTGTAGTAAAAATATATTTTAGGAAAATACCTGGAAAAATCTAAACACCAATAAACACTTTAAAACTATTTTTGAAGTAAAAATTGTAGCAAAAACCAGAATAAGCTAGCTAGGATAACAAGAACTATTGCATACTGCTCTTTAAGAGCGACATAGCAACTTGGAACAGGAGCAGCAGAAGTGGTAGGACTTATGTGGTGTAACAAAGTGGAAATTGGAGGAAAATAGGGAACCAGTTATCCAACTTCTCTCTGTTTATTACCATTTTTACCAGGAGAAGTATAAGGAAAAGATGAAAGAATCTCTCTCACTGAGCATATCCTCCATCAAAGGCTAAAACAAATTGGTAAAAGGAACCCAATTTTAAGAGCCTTGGACCCCAAACTTAAAAACATTTACCATATGCACTTACAGTTCAATGGACAATAAATTGGATTATTACACTACAAGTTGCAGGTTAACTTTAAGAGTTAACACTATTTTGCAATATGAAGTGCTTTTTTAATATATATATCTATATAATATATAGATATTTGTAAAATACACGTGCAGATTTGACAGAATAAACTGTGGGAATAGCTTTCTCGAGTCTTTTTTCCCCTACAGATCTTTATCTCCTACACAAGGAGTTTCAGGATTCAACAAGGATTTCCACAATATGATCAAGCTCATTAAGATCAGATTTGCAATTAGAGTTAGAAGTTGTAGTTGTTGGAGAAGAAAACGTTTCAAGCCCATCACAGTGTCCCATTTTTGTGTTGCTCATCATGCCTGTTAACATAGTATCAAGATCATAGTAAGAATTGTCAACTTCTGAAAACAGATCTTCAACAGAATTAGGACTTTTATTCTCCAGTGTCTCAAATATTTGATCTAATGATTTTTGAAAGTTTCCTTTATTTTCTTGCGGATTCTCCATTTCCCACACATTGCTCTGCAAGTTTCTTGGAGCTTGCGCCGATGAGGCTGTTGACATAGCTTCTGAACTATCTTGTGCCTGGTCACCCTCAAAGTCTTTACTGAAAGTACTATAGCCTGGAACATGCTTTCCCTCAGCTTGTTCCCTAGATGAACGACAGAGGATATCTGTTGAAACAAGACGATCCAGGGATGCCTGCCCTGTACTCTGTGTATTTATCATCTGCCAAGTCCCATCTTGAGTCATTTCCTCTTGAATCTGCCGTACCGTGTTGGCTATAAGTACCGAACGACAAAGGTTAGGTTCAACCAGCATGTGACACAGCTGAAGTTTAACCAAAGACATATCTAAAAGTGACTGTCGCTGAAGATTATATGAAGGAATAGCCTTAATACCAGCCAGAGTTCCTTCAATATCTTCTTCACCATCAAAACATTTTCTCTTTAATCCTCGCACAAACATTGTGTCCTATTAAAAAAAAAATTAAAAAAAAATATTATTGTACAATGTAAACAGCTCAAAAGGAAGGCGAAAAAAAGACTAAAAAACAGAACAAGAACTTTATTCTTAAATTTAAATAGCAAATTCTTTTAAGATAGAAACATCAGAATTGTCATACCAGGTTATAGAATGGCCAGTGTGGTACAACAGGGGTCAGGAACACATGGACTGGGTCCCAAAGGCGGCACTCGGGAACCAAGGGTGAGCAGATCCACAAGTCATGGCATCGGAGAGAGGCAGGAGCTCCCAGCTCCTGGCTCCCATTAAGTTCCACACTTGATGGAAGTCAGGAGCCGCTGCTTCGCACAGAAGCAAACATCTCCACGGCTGTATTTCACCTACTGGAGAGGCAGTTTCTCCTCGCTCCTCCCGAGTTTCTACTGGCATGCTTAACTTCTAATTTTGGAAATAAAAATACAACCTGGCACACCATCTTTAAAAGATTTGACCCCTCCAGAACATCGACATGCCTAACAGAATAACATGAAAAAAATACCATGGGCAATACCATACTTGAAAAAGTTCGCTTATTTTGGCTACAGGGAGAGTAAGATCTAAATTTGTTCCACAGAACTTGAGACGTCCAACTGAGGTACACAAAGCAGTCCTTCCGGTTCCCTTACTCAGGTGAGTAACTGAACTGTGTAATTCCAGTATGAATTGTGCAAGTCCAATAAGGATAGGCACAGTCATCTTCTGTATGGGCTTCTGTACTTCTTTCCCAGTTGACTATGAGAAAGCAAAAGTCTTGTATTCCTAGTTTAGGTTCACTAGCTAAAAATAAGTGGCTAGTGATTTTAGGCTAGGCTTCTCATTATTTACATCTAAAAATCACTTGCTGAATTTTCTAAGGTATGACTTTCAAGCCCTAGCTTCCAGATCTTCTGAATTGCACTAACTTTGACAACAGTGCCCCATGCCAACATTGCAGCTGATCTCTTGAAATACAAAGTAACTTTCTTTTAAATGCAGTAGATGTCACTTCTTCAGTCTCATAAAAATTACGCTGCAAATGAAAACTAGTACCTGATCATTGCATCTATACAGCTTTGTTATGTCACTTCTAAGTCTTCTGTCCTTAGAACTCCTGTTTGCCCAATATTTGGTCATTTTTTTTAATGTAGTGACCCAAAAACTCAAAGTTTTTCAACTGAAAGTTGATAAAACCAAAACACTATTGCAGTGCCTTTCTATATCATTTTCCCTTGGTAAGCCCTAACCTCTGCCTTGCTCTTCTGGTTGCTATGATATGTTCCACATATTTTCAGAGAGCGCTCTCTCAGCTTTTTCAGTCAGTAAAAATCCACCAAAGTGCAACAACATTGTTCCTTTCAAATACATTACATACTTATCTACTTCGAAAACCTGGGGAGAGCACAGTTGCTAGATGAACATTTGGTCTGACTGTACAACACTTCCTACATTGCTGTATTCACCTATGACTTAACTGGGTTTTTTTGGATTTGCCAACTGTTCAAAGACTTCTTTCCATTGAAGGTATGAAACTCTTTAAAAATCATAAAACAGAGACTACAATATAGAATACGTGAACTTGGTCTTATGGTCATTTTTCATGAAATTCTTAAAAGCTATCCATGGACTACCAATATAATAAAAGCTTTGGAAGTTTCTTTTAATATTTTCTCCTGTAAGGTGACATATTTGCATTATTTCCACCAAAAACAACCCAAGTTTTTGCTTGATAGTGCCTTTTCCAGGTTTGTTGATATTCCTGCAAACTTCCTTTCGTAGGATATCCCATTTAATTTTCCCATAAAGTTATATGTATAGTAATTTCTAAACATACACACCCCATGTTAAACCTGACCTCTAGAAACATCTTTTGGGACTACTAATCAACCATGTGTGATTATGTAATCAAACACTCTGTGTTCTTCTATTTCAACTTATATTCTTGTGAAGACTAATTAAAACTTCAATTGAACGTTAATGTGGTCTTCATACTTCTATTATTTGGCATTTCAATGCCTTCTGAGGTACAGCAACAGAAGAACTGAACGCAGCGGCAAACTTGAAAACCTCAGTACATCACACATACTTGGTTGTGTAGAAGCATCTTAAAGGTAAGCCTTCCGCAGCATTCACTGGAACTTTTGCCTTAACACTTACTTCCAATTAGTATCTTACATCAGTTCTTTGTTACTCTGTTCCTGAGACTGCACAAAATACTAGATTATGCTATCATTTAAGAAGCAAAAAATTACATACCAGTAATTGTGCTTGATGTAGTCCTTCCTCTTCTCCCATGCTACTGAGCAAGAGTCCATACAGTAAAAGTTAGAGCACCACCTAGCAAGTACCGGGAAGCAAGATGTCAGCCAAGTACAGGAGATGCAGAAGAAAATACTTTCCCATTTCAGAAACTTACACACCTCTGTTTTCTTCAATTGCTTCAGTATCTCTATCCTCACAATGCTGCTACAAACTTGAATAGTATTATTAAACCAAATCTACAGCTAGAGCACAAAGGTGGTTTGCCCAACAATACATGCAAAATCTCTGGCAGGAGAAGGAAACTGCCAGTTTAAGTCCAAGTCCTGGGCTATTACCCTGACCTTTGGACCAGCCTCTCCCTTATGCCTAAGCCTTTGCCATTTAAAGAGCAAACAAAATCTTTAGTGATCATCTGAAAAAAATTAAACACGCACGAAAGCACACTGAAAGCAAGTCTTCACTACTTTAATCACAAAACTACAGTTTTCACCTTTGCTGTACAAAACCATGTATCTCTGTAGCATCTAAAGAAAAAGAGCAAGCATGCACAAATACAAAACTGAAACACAGCAAAACCAGGGAGAATTTTCTTTTACCAGCACAGAAACTTTATGACTAAGATTTACTTTGCGAGATGACAATAACGAAAGTAATGACAGTAATTAAATCACTTTAACTATAAAAGCTGAGTTTTAAAAACACAATTAAGACAAAATAAGATTTGATATACCGAATACAACTACCAAACACATGCGACAATTCCTTTAATTACTGAAATGGAAAAGAATGCTCTGTTTCAACAGGTTACAAAAACTTATATGATACAATATGAAAACAATTCAGATAACTCTTCTAGACATGTCTGTACAGTACAAGACAGTATCTGCAACTGAAGTACATACCTAGAAAAGAAACAAGTAAAGAGGATGCCTATGGACACCTATTTTGTTTTTTACTGTTTTTTGAAGACTGCTTGCTCTCAAAATTGGGGGGGAAGGAAACAGATGACAACGGACTTGGGAGGGGGCAGAAAACATGTTTTTCTGAAGAAGCTGCACACTTGTTAAAATGCCACAACAACAACAACAACAAAAACACCCCACCTTAAACACTCTCAAGAAAAAAATCTTTTGCCTTGATCCCAAAATATTCAGACTAAAATGCTGTTATGTCATGGAAACTCTATTTCAACCAACTCATAGTCTCATTCTCTTTTATAGACAGCTCAGAGCAACGTTCAAGACAGGGTCATGAGGCATCTGAACTACAACTCCACTGAGACACCATGGTATCAAGTCAATAAAGTATTTCTTATTTCTGTCAAACACCTTATGATGCTACAAAAGTTCAGAATTTTTTGCTCCCCAGGTATACTTTCAAAACACTCTACAAATGAAGAGCAGTCTCTTTGGGAGCCTGCATACAGTAACTATTTGAATCCCCAAATTCCTACTAGATACGCTTTTAGTTTATGGCAGGTGACATGGGCATAAACTTTGTTTACAAAAAAACCCAACCAAACAAAACCCCACAAAAAAACCATAACAACTACAGGTGAAGATGATGCAGCCAGTAGAACGATAAATGAAAATATTTTCTGGTGCTATTTTGGATATCTGACAATTTTAGAGAAAGAGGCTTTGGCCGTTTGCCTCCCAAAATAGCAGACTGATACAGGAGGGGACCGTTGACAGGAATGCAGGAGTTCTCAGTAGAAGAGCCATTATCACATCCACAAACCAAAAGCCATAGAGGATGTTGGCAGACCAGTCTCGTCTGTAATCTACTAACATACTAAAGGAGACAGTTTTCCCATACAATATAATAAAGTGTAAGACCTGCTGCATATGATTCCTGGTTCTTCCCTTAGAGCACTAAACAAACCATGTGGACCTCTGTTAGCACAAACTTAAAGAATATGCCCACCACAGCAATTATTTCTTCAGATGCTATTAACTGGCACGAGCGTGCCTCAGAACCTAAGTCCTCAGTAGAAAAAAATATTAACTTCATGGCCATTATCAAATGCAATTAAAACCTTGCAAATAACCTCCTCCAGACTTCTCTGCACCATCTCCAATAAGCACACATCTCAAGAGAATGCTAAATTTTAAAACATAATTAATTAAAATGTAAGTATGTTTCTCTATTGATTTACATATTAACATACTCAAAAAGGCATTAGCCATTGTGTAAAACCTCTTGGTTACATGAAAGCTAGACTGCTGCTGCTTTAGAGTCAAGGTGTTCAAAATCCCCTGATAATTTCAAGCAGCATCTGTCTCTGTCCAAGAGGCATTATCTAGACTAATTATATCATCTCCCTTCTTCCACTACTGAGTGTCAAGAGCCCAAACTTAGTGTGTTAAACTTAACTGCTGTTCGAGACAGTTGTACAAAAAAAAAAAGCTGTTAAGGAGACAAAAGCAATCTATAGCATAATACAATATGAAAAAAGGAGGTTTTGTGGGGTTTGTTTGGGGGTTTGTTTGGGTTTTTCCGCTTGTTTTTTAATAGTAGCACAGGGAGTACAGTATTATGTAATTCATTAGAAGTTTTGCTTTTGGGATTGACAAATTCCTAGTCTGCTTTACAAATAAGGTGCTTGAAATTTGATCCAATTCTTACCAGAGCATCAATTTACACATTCCAGATTCACACTCAATTCAGATTCATGTAGTAATGGTGTCAAAGATATACTTAAGTACTTAGGGAAAAAAGTTGCTTCCTAAGAGTTGGGGTAACAGAGAAGACAGGAGATTTTAGCACTGTTCATCTTCAGGCAAAAGCAGGTAAGAACTAGCTAGGCCAGTACTGGAGGTTCACTTCAGCAGGGTGCTTTTTCTTTTTGTACAGCTATAAGCATAGTGATGATAGTTGGAATGGGAAAGTAAGAAAGCATTGTATCTCCCCTCCACCACTGTAATCCTCCCCGCTCCCAAACTGCCTTTTACAACAGCTGTAAGAAGAAATCAAAGCTATGCGTTAATGGTGAAAAGAGGACGGAAAGCCAGATACTCCTCTTTAGGCATGTACACGTGCGTACGGTGATGTTGAGATATAAAGTGGGCTGCAGACACAGCAAAGGGATGGTACGGCCAGAAACATCCCTATTCGGACTGGGACAAAGGCACCTAAAAAGCGCTGGGGTTTGGTCCACCCCCCGGGCGTGGAGGACTGGCAGGCACTTCTCCAGGACACGAGGGCTCCGGTAAGGGCCAGTAGCTCCCAAGGAAGGGCAGGCTGGGAAGCGGGGCA